AAACAGTCATCTGCATTAGAATGAAGGTCCCAGATCTCACTTCTTCAGTAAATGTTGTTAAGATATATCCGGGTTTTAAAGCTTTGATAAACACATAGAATAGAGCCCACCTTTATGGACAATCGATTAAAAGCGCTGAAAATCTTGAAGTATTCACCGATATTTTAACGACGATCTGAAACTCAGCGCGCCTCAACACACGAAAAAAACTGTAAAGTAATTTGACGGAAGGTGCGTTCTCTTAATTTACACAAAATGGCATGTTTACGATTGCGACTACCAAGTTTTATTCAAATTTATTGATTGCTGACCAGTCTGTCAACATGTGGCCGTAGGAAGACCTTTATTCCTGTGACGTCTGGACCAACGAGGTCGGACGAGGACCTGTAAACCTTAGTCAATCGCATTTCAAACAATGTGAAAACGGAAAAGGAGCGGCCAGTTCTTGTAAGAGCGTTTAAGAAGCCAACTGTAGGCCGTTGGCTCACCGCCATATCTAACGTCATACTAGTTCTTGGAGAATGCTTGAATGCGAACATCATAAAAGGACTATTTTCAAACTTCATCCTACTTGTGTCGTATCATTTACCCAGTTTTTTGCATGGGTTGACCTTTTGTACACCTCAAACTTAAATTTACTTAGTCAAGGCGATTACTGACGTTTTCGGAATATCTGCTTTTCTAAGAAACTGTTATTCTAAAATAACGTAATATTACTTCTATCGTTTCTTTTATATTTCCAATATGTCGCCCATTATTAAATTGGAGTTCTTGGATCACCCGTTTATGCCAGTTCGGGGGCAGTTATTCCAGCTACGTAAATTTCAGCACATTTAAAGGATTAAAAAATTCACTCTACCCAAGACCGGCAAATGCAGACCATAACTTTCATTTTTCTGCCGCCAAGGTCAAAGTGGTCGGGCCTGAACACTCGTCGTGAGAAGTCAAGCTGCGACAATCCTCTTGGCCACTGATCTTGTTCGAGCTGCTCCACATTTGTGCCTTCCCTCCCTTTTTCCGATGTCCTCTCTCATTCTCAAATCCGCTAAGTGTAAGCCCTCGAACTTACGCACATGCGCAGTGATACCCATTGAAATTTTGTTTCCTTTCAAACGGAGTTTCTTGCCTTAAATGCCATCAAAAATAGCACGTTCTTCTTTATCTTCATTTCTTCTTTTTTATGGAGGAACCTAAGAGTTTGTAGTGCTGAGTAAAATCCAACTCACGACCGTCAGGCAGGGTTTACTGTAGACGCTTTGCTCATTCAAGTTGGCTGGCGGCAATCCACTCCGGGTTAAAGCACCTATGGAAGCCCACGTGAGCTCCTCTGGGGGGAGGGGGACATTAAATTAGTCTGAGTGCCGGCAAGCCGCCATGACTGTAATGTTGGAAGACGGAAACATCAGCCAGACGAAGCATAACGGAAGCAATCAAGACTAAAAACGTTAGTGAAGCTTTCAGTGAACATCCAAAGAGATTTGAGAAAGAACCTCTGTAAAGGCCGATAGCGTGAGTCACAGGCCGAACATCGTCTAGACCAAGACCGAAGTACAACCGACGCGCTGAGTAAGTGGATCGTGAGGGTGGAACCTAAGGGGAGTCAGGATGGATAAGAATTCTTCAGGCAGCGGTGACGGCTAGTAGAATGGTTGTAGCTCCAACGGGAACAAGACGGATTTGACGTGTTCTGCAGTTGCAGACAGAGGAGGACGTCGCAAGGTGTTCGAAAATTTAGCTGAAACGAGTGAAGCTGAGTGTTGCGAGTAGGAGAAGCACAGAGGCCAACAAACCATCTGATGCCTTTTTGGGTTCCCAAGCTGTGAACATTTACAGAGGCAGGAAGAAGCCCGAAAATCCAATAGCCCAAATAAGCTGAACTTTCAGTTCCGGAAGAACGCCTTTCTAAGTTCTTTATTTGAATACGAAGAGAAGAGTCAGAAGCCAGCAATTCAACGCGATCGGAATGACTATTTACCAGCAGCGGTTTTCCCTGTAAGCTGGTGAGCGATTAAGTCTTCAGCGGCGAATGCTGATCGTGATTATGAGCCACGGGAAAGATTGCAATCCTACTGCAAGTTGCATCTCTCGGAAAAGAATTCTCTGGATTAAAGATTTCCCGGGTTGCGCGTTACCGTACACTCCCAATCAAGATTCAAAGGCAGGAGAGCTAAGTAATGTGGATCAACAAACCTGCACAGCTTTGGCACGCATCCAGGTAGCATGAAGAAAGAAATAAAGGACTCTTTATTACCTGATCCGAGGTTCGTCACGGTGAAATGAAGTCCTCCCCCACCTTCAACAGAACTTTTGTACCAGCAAGTCTAATGTACACTGGTGGAATCGTTGTTGTTCAGCCTAACTGTCAAAGCGCTGGGTTATTGGCTATGGACAACTATCGGCTAAAATCAGGAATAGGGCATGTTGATGACACATCTGTGTCCAAGGTGGAATGGGCTGCGAACTACATTCAACTAATCTTTTTGAGCATTTCCCCCAAGAAGAAGGAAGAGGAAGGCGAGCACTCGTCATGCCTAGACGAGCTACAGGAGGGCTGCCGATATTACCCGTAGGCTATGCTTCCGCAGCAATCACAGGAAAACCAGTAAAAGACACGCACCTTGTCGGCATTGAAGTCCAAGGTCATATTTCCGGCGCATCTGAGGCGGTCGACAAATTACTGAGTCATATTGGAACATCATCTACTGAATTGGACTGAAATCTCTGAGAAAACAATGGTCTGGGAGGTTTCACGTGAGTAAAGTAAATAACTGCTGAACCAATCTAGGGAGATATTTGAAAGTAAAAGAAGATATGTGCATGAATGCGAATGAATATGAAAACAAGCCCATCTCATATTAAGTTCATCGTGCGACGCATGCATGACACCTCGTCCAGTTTAGCAAGTATCCGTCACCTCGTTGCGAAACAGTATTTGAATGTTCATTTTCGCTCGAACGTCCCTAATTACCGACATTTTTGCCTCCAGAAATTTTGCGTCTTCATCTGAAAGTCCTAATAGGCGTTTTGGCAGGCTTTCCGCTGTTGTGGGAAGCAACCTCAAGGTGCTGAATATATTTCCTGGGGGTGAGAGGATTTTAATCGTTGGGGTATACGGTCAGAGGTGGTATCGTCA